TGAGCTATATAAATTAAAATATGAACAAGTATATTAGTAATTTATAATTTAATAATTGCAAATATTCAAAAAAAAAACTAATACTTATTTTTTTTTAGATCTTTTTGTATTTGCAAGTCATAATAAATTTTCGTGTCAGAGTTAGACTTAATCAGCCCTTACTTAAATCAGCCACGCGTAAAGCATTTGTTCTTATTTGGTCTGCAAGGTGACATCTTATTTATCAAGAAATTAAAGTGGCCGATAAAGAACAACTAATGCGTCTTCATCCTGAAATTCGGCAACTTATTGAACTAAATTCAGTTATATCATGATTAGGATGGCTGAATCAGCATCAAGGATTAGATGCTGTACTTGAGGAAATTAATAAAATGCTGAAAACACTTATTCCACCTATACCAACTCAGAAGCATTGGGAAATAGCAGCAAGAAATTGTATTAAATTTATGAAGGTAAAATAATAAATTTTAATGTTATTTAATTGTAATACTTATTTTTTTTTCACGGATCATTTTATTTCTTTATTGAAGTTGTGGAAGAGATTATTTACTACAATCAGATATGCAGATGCTGAAAGTGCTAGTCCACGAATGCATTCAGATTTTGAAATAGAATCACAACAGTTCTGAGTTCAATTGAGAAAAGCCGGCTTCTTAAATTCATATAAAGATAATCGTTATTTTGAAAGTTTAGACGGATATAATAAATTGAGTGAAGAAATGAAATCATTTAGTATTATAGCTCAAGCTCAACATATAAATTACATCAAAGAAAAATTAAGTTCAAAGAAACAATTAGTTACCCGTTCCATTCCTGTTACAATCGATAAAGTACAAATACAATCAGCGAAAAGTTCAATGAAGAAAGAAGAACTGATATTGATAATTGAATCACTAATCAGATCTTTAAACGAGACTAATTGGCCACAATTTCAAGGATTAAAATCGAAAAGAAAAGATGAGTTATTAATTATTCTGCAAGAAGTTCGAGATTTAACTAATGGTAATGCATGTAATGAAACAAATTGAAAAAAGTCAAAGCT